CGTTTTATTGTTTTTAACGTTGAAATGACAAGTGCAACTGGGGAAGATGAAGTTGTTGTGAGTTCCCTTTTCAAGACAATTCAGTGAAAAGACGGACATTATAATGCCGGGGGGGTGGGGGGTGTCACACAGCAGGTGATGAAAGCTGCAGACAAAGAGATGCAAATACAGGGTTTCAAAAACAACAGTGTGTGTGTGTGTGTGTGTGTGTGTGTGTGTGTGTGTGTGTGTGTGTGTGTGTGTGTGTGTGTGTGTGTGTGTGTGTGTGTGTGTGTGTGTTGTTTAGTAAGAATGTAATGTCTTAATTCAATCACTTGAAATAGTTTAAAGAGGTGACATCTTCTGTAACTTTATTTTGAAAAGCCACTCTTTAATGAAGATGGAATTCTCAAGTTGATCATAAAATGACGAATGATTGATTTAAAGCATCAGGAAAAAGCACTATTGGTTAATATTATAATGTTGGTATTACACTTATTTTATTTTAACTCAATTATGGACTCTGAAATCCCACCAAAATAAAAGCTCCGTCTTCATGTTATCTTTTAATTTCAGAGTAAGATGTTTTTAATGCTGTAGATTAATTTGTTCTTAATTATCTCAGAATATAAAACTGAGCAGCAGCTTCAATAAAAATACAAATATAAGTAAAGGCAGGTAGCAGATAACGTGCTAACAGCTAACGTGCTAACAGCCAACGTGTTAACAGCTAACGTGCTAACAGCTATCAGTGGCTGCAACAACAAAGAGACACGTAGAGGAAATGTTCAAGGCACTGATTTGTAGTTTTTCTGGAGGTTGAAATGTTTAAGGCTTCTGATTGGACACACTCACAGCATCCTGCGTCCTGATTGGTCGATAGAGGCTGTCACTCACACGCACATCGAGCACAGCTTCATGACTCCGTCCCTGATAACAAACAAAAAGATTACAATTATTCATTTACATTTTTTTGACTGGGTTTTATAATAGATAAAAATAACACGTCATTTGAAATCTAAAGTAAATGATTGCAATCATACTCAATGTATAAAATGTAAAAAGATTAAATAAAATACTATAATAATAAGAATAATAATATAAAGGTGAGTGTTACCTGGCGAAGGGGATGTAGGAGAGGCCGTACCTGAGAGGAACACAAAGTTAGTTATATATTCATATATATCTATATTTAAATGTGTGTTTGAATACCAGGTGAAGGCGAGGAACTGGAGAACACAGAAGAGCAGCGCCAGGCCGTTGTTCTTCCACTGCGCGCACACACACACACACACACACACACACACACACACACACACACACACACACACACACACACACACACAATAAGTAGAAGAATATAATATATAAATAATACATTATATTTAAAACAACAGCTGTTTGTGTCTCACCCAGAAAGCAGCACAGAGCGTCAACACCAGACACACCTGAGGAGAGAGAGATGGTTATATTACTGTGAGTGTGTGTGTGTGTGTGTGTGTGTGTGTGTGTGTGTGTGTGTGTGTGTGTGTGTGTGTGTGTGTGTGTGTGTGTGTGTACCATCATAATGGCTGAAGCGATGGCTCTCTCTTTAGCGCACATGGACTTCAGCTGCCGTAGCGGACCCATCAGGAACATGGTGCTGGAATATAGAATATATATTTTAACAAACAATATTATAGTTGTTAATATAAATGTAATACGTAATTTAAGATCAGTTTATTATTAAGAATTTGTATTATTTATAATAATCAGGAACATCGTGCTGCAAATATTTTATATATAATTTAATAAATGTTATTTTCATGTTCTGAGAATAATCTGCAGCTGTGCTTCCGGCCTCCACCACAAGAGGGAGCTGTTCCTTTTATAAAAGGCACTTTGTTTTATATCAATGTTATAAATTCTATGCTTTTGTATTTCTTATTGATATAAAAATACACTGAATACTCTCAGATACACTACAGTGTGTTATTGTCCCTCATTGTGTGTGTTACCTGAACAGAGCGCTGATATTTCCCACGCTGTAGAGGACAGCGAACACAACCAGCCCGACGCGGGGGAGCCACAGCAGGCAGCTGCCCTGAAGCATAGGAAGTACATGTTAATTCATTACTAAATAATAATAAAAACAACATTAAAATACGAGAGAAATAAATAAAATACAGCTAAATATTGCAATAGTGGGAATAGGTAAATAAATATGAGAGTATTAAATGCAACTAAATAAAATAAATGAAAGAGAAAAATATAAAAAACTAAAGTGTCGTCAATAATTCTTTATTAGTTTTTCATTTTTTTACAGATTTATTTTAAAACAATTAATTTTTAAATAAATCTGGATATCAGTAATGTTCATCCCGAAGCTTATAGACGAACATGTAATAATAATAATAGATATATATATATATATATATATGTATATACCAGGACCGAGCAGAGGACCCCGAGCACGAAGCAGACCCCGAAGCCTTTCATCCGGGTCTTCCAGGCCAACGAGGACGCCTGATTGGCTCTCTGGGAAACACACACTATATTACTCGCTTGTTTATGTTACAATTTATTTATTTATTATGTTCAGTTTAAAACACATTTTCACAGAGATATCTTGAACAGCTGTCCTGAGTTTTTAACTGTTTTATAAATTGTGTTCTTTGTTATCTTTTTACAGAGTTTTAACAGGTTGTTTTTAACTGAGTTTTGAGAGTTGTTTTCCACATTAAACCCTAGTCTTTAACCCTTTCCTTAATATTTATTTATGTGCTTAAAGCTGCGTAGATACCCGTGTGTAGCTTAGCTCACATGCTAACATCTTTACCTCAATGATTCCGGTTCCGTCGCTGTTTGCGTCCTCCTGTCCGCTCAGTACCTTCTTTAGTTTATCCATAAGTACACACACACCCTCTCAGGGTCTCAGGGTCTCAGGTGAGTTCTCTATAGGTGAGTTTCCTCTACAGGTGAGTTCTCTAGAGGTGAGCAAGCTGCAGGTGTTTAGCTTCAGGAACAACACATCAACAGGTGCAGCTCTTCCGCACGCAGTACCACACTCTGCCACACAGTGCGCGGAGGGGGCGCTGTTTCCCCTCAGGGGGATTTTATTATTATTTAAAGTATATTTGGACAAAAAACACAAGCCCGGTATTTGTGGAGCTGATTAAAAAACTTTATTACATTTCAATTATTTATCAGTATTTTTTTTTTTTTAAGCATTTATTCTAGAATTTAAATAATTTGTATTTCCTATTGAGGGTGCGTTTGATTGTGCATCTGTTGCTCCCGGTGGGGTCAGGGCACTTTGACGCGCGGGGAGTCCCAGTAGACCGGCAGGGGGACGGACACCTGCACGCGACACGTGGGGCAAGACTGCTTCCTCCACAGGTGCTCCTCTATACACTGCAGGGACAAACAACAACAACAACAACAACAACAACAACAAAAACAACAACAAGATAAAGACAGTTTTCCCATAAAATAAATGAAATGGACAACATTAAATAAATAAAACAAATAATATAAAATAATGTAATATGATATTGTGGGTACCTCTCTGTGGAAGCTGTGGTTACACGGCAGCTCTCTGGTTCCTCCGGCTCCTTTACTCAGGTCCTTTTGACAAATCAAACACACACTGGCCCTTTCTCATTTCTCTAACTCCCTTCCTCGACTCCCCTCCTCGACTCCTATCCTCGAGACTTAGTCCCGCCCACAGGAGATACGAGCGGAGGAGTCGAGGAGGGGAACCGAGGAGAGAGGAGGGGAAGCAGCAGGCGGTTAGAGAAATGAGAACTCCTCTCCTCTTAGCGGTCATTTTAAAGAGACGTCCATTAATGATGACAGGAGGCACAGCAGCCCTCTGTCTGATGGACAGATGTGTTCATGACCACACACATATTTACTTTGATTCATTCACAGTGCGGTACAATGAGACAATAACAGGCTACAGATGACGGACACACACACACACACACACACACACACACACACACACACACACACACACACACACACACACACACACACACACACACACCTTTCTGCACGGACCTCTCAGCTGTTCTCTCTGGAAACATCGCGTCACGATGAAAGCAGTTACTAAAATAATATCCAGGGGATGCATGCAGAGCTGTGATTGGCTGAGATAAGTCCGGCCGTGCGTCACGACTCTTTGA